CAATAACGGGAAAACAGTTAATCTCAAACATTAAGGCCAATTAGCTTAATCGCAATCAGATAACTAATCAATATCACTATGAAGGTCTTTGAGCAACGTCACCTCAATTACTTCACATGTGCATATGGAAAAGAAAAGGGAAGTGGTCACAAAACTTTTCTAAAGAGTGTGTGTGCATGTCCTTATAGAGACTTTTCCTGCTTAATTGTGACACGTAGGCCTTTAGATTGCGGAATAAGACCAAAAAATATATATTTAATCAACTTAAATTTCTGTTATCACTTTACTGTAGACAGCGATAATCAGCAGTTCATTAATTCAGCAAGTCTAGAATATTGCTTTTATCTGAGGTTACTTTCAGTAGGCAGCAAAGCTTATTTCAGAAATACAATTCATCAGATGAATTGCATAGGTCAATAAACAACAGGATAATCTATTAAAGCATGCTAATACCTCCCACAGTCTCATTTCTATTCCTGTCAAAAGCTCTATTTTGTTAAAGGTTTACTGTTTGGCGAAAACACTTCATTGACATTAAAGATTCTTTAGATTAATAAAATGTTCCTCATATGATCCACTAAACAACCCACTGAAAGTTTCATGTTTTTTGGTAACTCTTTTATTTGATGGTCCATTTGAGTATTAGTAGACTGTCTGCTTAATATCTGTTGATACTGCTCCTTCAACAGACATGTAACATATAAGAAACTTTGCAAGTACATGTCTTACACCAGTGGTTCTCAAACTGTGGTACGTGTACCACTTGTGGTACGCAGGCTTCCTTCTAGAGGTAGGCGGAGGAATGAAATATGTCATGTACATGCTATACACATTTCAAAATTTATCACAATTGATGTATATAATATGCCATATATGACATATAGCCTATATTTCTGAGGTAATCTGCCACGTTTTTTTAACTTTGCAGAGCTGTAGCTGCTTTACTGGGCCTACTATGCTACTGTATTTCAATACTGCTCATTTTGGTGGTACTTGGAGAGACAATTTTTTTCTGAGGTGGTACTTGGTGAAAAAAGTTTGAGAACCACTGTCTTACACTAAACCCTAACCCTAACCTAACAGTCTACGTTTAATCTAATGGGAATTAGTTGCCATGTAGATGCAATGCAACTTAAATTCAACAAATGGACCATCAAAATAAAGTGTGACCGATTTATTTATTTATTTTTTATTTATGTATTTATTTATTTTTTAACGCAGTTTGTAAAATTGCTCCTCCAGGTGCAACCCATCACTGGAAGGTAAAAAAGTTAAAAATTAAAACAAGAGCAAAACTCAAGAAAAACAAAAACTGTATAAAATTTAGTTAAAATTTGTATAGGTTGTAATTTTTTTGCAATATTTAACATGAATTTAAATGTGTAATCTTTCTTTCTAAAGAAGTTCAGTGACTAAAATGTTATTTTATTAAATGTATCTGTTTAATAAATCTGTTTAGTTCAAATGCACCAAAATCCATGACCTATATTCACTGATAAATTAATAAAAATATTCATTTGCAAAATAGGGTGTACTCAATGATGCTGAGCACTGCACTGTGTGTACTACAAACACATGCAAAAGTTTAGACTTCTAAATTTACTTAAGTGACATTCAAGTTCAAGGTCTGGATTTACATTAAATAAAAGTTAAGAGGTCATTTCTGCTTTATTTTTTGCCCCATGTCCTCAAAGCCATTTTGCATATTTAAACCCCCTTATAAGTTACGTAAATCTACATAGACAATCATAATCTTACAGTTGCATTTTCCATTTATATTAGTATATAAATGCATATTTAAATCTAAATCGTAAATGATGTGTGTTTTTAAAATAGGTGTTACTTGAGTTGGACTTGTTTACCTTTTTCTTCTTTCAATGTGATCGGCCAATCATTTCTTTCCTCTTTAAGTCTTAACTGACGTACACAGACACCTGCTGCTGCGGCCTCTCGAAATTTCGACGCTAGCCGTGTGAGGACTGACGAGGTAGGTAAAAGTTTGTATTTTTCCTTTGTTTTTGTTATGACCTGCCACCGTGCAAGCTCAAATGGTACAAAAAACAAAACGAAAGTTTTAAAATGTTTTGTAAACCATTGAAGCCTTCATTACCCATCTGAAAGCATGCTGGAGCTCGACGCGCTGGTCAAAGCAGTAAAATGTAACGCAATCAAACATGTTTTATTTATGTAACGTCATATTTCTATTCAATACTGATTATATTAATGATTTCGTACCAGTTAACGTTAGGTTGTAACAAATGGCAACAAATCAGCAGGTCAGAATTATTCCTGAAGCATGGCGTGACAGTGAAGACTTGTGAATGCAGCTAACAAATATATTTGACAAAATAACAACATAAATCTGACAAAACTTTAAAAAAGAGAACGCTATTATGTTTTTAAACTGTATTTTGATAGTTATTAGCGATTCTACTCGCACAGCTTTATTTGGAGTGTCGAATTAGCAAGTGTTTTCATTTGTTGTGATTTATAAATCAGGGTTATTTCTCCAAATGTTACTTTCTTGCATCTTCTAAAGTTAAAACAATGTAAAACAAAATTGTATTGTCTCGAAATTAAAATTTTCTTTTTTTGAACAGTAGTTTGCTGAAAAAAATGATTATGTTTTACTTAAACGCATTACTATCAATTTAAAATCCAGAGAAAGTCCATAATTTCCTTATGAACCTTTTATTTTTATATGAACATAATACATGAACGAAAAAGCCTTTAAAGTATACGTCATATCACAAAGCGAGACTGAAGTAACAATGTGCTTACTGGGTTAATTGTTCTAGGTCATCTGTTTGAACCCAGAAACTAAAGAGTGCAGATCTGTAACCACTAGGCCACAATAAAGCAAAACATTTCCCCTGTGTTCAGTACAGTAGGTGTCATCTCAAGAGCATGGATGGGAATCTCCAATTCATTATGTAACTTTGAACAAGAACATCACAAAGATGTAAGAGACTAAATGTTTGCACTGTGTTTCCTTCTAGATGTTTACTGGCGTTTTTATAGCATTGCATCTACAGTGTTCAGCATGTATAAGTACACCTCTCACAAATGTCTCTCTTAAATGAATATTTTCTATAGGAAGATTTTCAATAATATATTTGTACATATAAATTAGACTGGTTAGTACTGAAGGCAAATTTAGAGTTAATCTAACAAAGTAACTTTTGACAACTTATAAAAATATTAAATAAAAAATTATCAAAGGGAAAAATCAAAAGAAACAAAAATTATTAAATTTTGTTGGAATTTTGAAGTTTGTAATTTAAAAAAATAATAATTTGCATGAATTTAAATGTTTTATCTGTGTATTTCTAAAGGTGTTTAGTGACAAAGTATATATTAATAATAATGAATACATCTGTTTAATAAATCTGTTTTGTTTAAAAATGCTACCCATTTTCACTGAGAAATTTGTAAAATTATTCATTTTCGAAATTTGGTGTTGGTTTTGCTGAGCACATACATGAACTGTTACCATAACAGTAGTGAACTTATTTTTGGATATTTATTTCTTTTAATAATGTCCACAGAAATGACGCAACCTGTTTTATTTTTGACAAATTACTCAATAAATCCCAGTATTGCAGAACTAACGCACAAGTGTGTAACATAACAGTAACATCCAGGGCAAAAAGAATTTGCATCATCTCTCAACCAAAATAATAATCAGTCATTTCAAAGGGTTTAATCACACATCACATGATAAAAACATTGCATGTTATAGATAGTCACCGACAGTTATTATAAGGACATGTAGGCCAGACGATTTACAAACAGCTAATAAAAACTGAAAGTGTCAGATTCATGAACATCCCAGCATGACTTGTCAGACAGTTTATCGGCGCAAAATCATCCGCAAAGAAGATAAGCTTCTTGAACGTCTTGCGATTATTTCAAAGTATTTAAAAAAATGTTAGATAAGATATTTCCTTTTTGTGACTAAGCAGTCACAGGGTATAAAAGATGGAAAGTTGTTACATTTGAGTGTGAAAACACATCATACTTTGACGAGTTGAGCACAGGGAGCTCAGAAATACTGTGAATTTTCACCATGGGGCCAATAACAGGTAAGCTCAATCTCCTTTTTTTATGTTAGTAAGTACTACACTGTATATGTTTTTATTTATTTGTTCATTTATTTATGCTTTTTTAATTGTATTAAGAGATCTTGAATTTTTTTAAAAGTTTTTATATTGAAAAGGTGTAAAATTGAAAGTACTTTTACTGATATTTTTTTAGTGTTTAAAGTGATGTATTGTTTGTATTGGTGTTGTAAATTAAAGTACAAAAAACCTGGTGATAAACTGCCAGTACCTTTTTCTGTTATTTTATGGGCTTAATCCTCTGTATATTATTTCTTATACAATATGTTGGTTCACATTACTAAAATGTCAATTAAAGTTTGTTTGTTAAACTGTAGAGTTAAATTTTCAAATTCAATCAAAAGTTGACAGAGAAGAGACCAAGTCCCATAATCCAATTCATAACCATAAATATAAGGCTGGGCGATATTGCAAAAAAAAAAAAAAAAATTACGATATCATATCAAGCTAAAAAAATCATGTTTCATATCATTTGATATGGATAATTATTGAACATTTTTAACAATACATCTAGGAAAATATTTTAACCACTTTATATTACTTTACCAACATTACTAAGGCAAATAGTTTTAATAGTCAAAACAAAAATATTTAAACGAAATATTTCATCTCTTAATAATAAAATAAACATAAGTGTTAAAGAGACTCTTAAACTTGATAAATAAAATACTACATGATGTGTGCAGTGGTAAAGTGTAAGTGCTGAAAAATTTAAGCAAACTTTAAGGTGTGAATAATAATGATACAGTAAACCTCAAACTGTAAACAAAACACATTATGATAATCAAATCTGAGCTTTCAAGTAAAGAAACTAACCATCATTATTCAAATATATATTGTAACATTAAAAACAGTGAAGTTGAATGACTACATTACCTCTATACTAAAAAAATCTTTCAGATGGGGATGCTGGGATGCACAAGAAAAGAAACCAAAAAGCCACCCTGGCGACGTCCTTGCATCCTTTTTTATTCACAATCTCCTCACTGCTGCTATACGGCACTCATTTCTGCATTTGTTGTTATCCTGAACTAAACTTAAAATGACGCAACCCAAAACTCACAAGGTAAAAGCGCAAGTGCGTGGTTTCCTTCACTATTTTCAATGCGCTTTGTTCTCGCACTCCTCTGCTGTCTCTCAGTAACTAGGCCATCATCAATCGTTTTCTTAGAGGGTGACAAACGGACAAACCATTGCTGCAGCTCCCTTACAAGTTTAAGGAGAAAAGTAAAGCACTGCAGTGTTTGTCTGAGGAAATTACTCTACCTTTATGCGAGTTCGCCTCCTTAGGAAATGACAGACTTGCACCCTAAGCTTAATGGCATTGCTTTCAAGGCACGTGCTCAGCTGCCACATTTTATTAAAACTACAGCCTTTATACCACACTTTATTTTTTTATCCATATTGACAATAGTGTTAGGTCAATAAATATCGATACCGATTTTATTGTCTAGCCCTACTTGAATAAACCAAAACAAAACTATGAATCACAAAATGTGAAACCTGTTATTTAATTTTCTGTTATTGTGATTTTTTTTAACAGTGTAGTTTAATTTTCTAAGCTACATGAAGTTTTTATTGCTGACATTAACCAGTGTATTTTTCTTTCATAGGACTTCTGATGTGGAGTATTTTAATGGTGACAGTGTCATGCAGACCATATGAAGGACCAAAATGTCATATTAAACCCCTCATTTCTAAGACCAAACAAGAAATGAAAACACTACTGAAGGAATACGTAAGTATTAGGCTTTTAGTGCTTAATTAGAACACTTTGAGGAAAATTTAGATGAATTTGCAGTGCACAAGAGATGCATGAGAGTAAATCATTGTCTTTAGGGATAGTTCACTCAAAATGAAATATTTTCTCATCGTTTCCAAACCTTTATGAGTTTCTTATGTTGAACACAAAAGAAGATATTTTGAAGAATGCTGAAAATCTGTAACAAATGACTTCTATAGAATGCAAAATTGCTCAAATGTTTGACACACACTTGTACTGTCCCACTGACTCATCGATTAATGATTCAAGACACTTTGGAGTATTTTTTTTGTTTGTTTTTTGAGATTTTAATAGATTTTTATAGGTGAATGTGAGAGTGCATGGGTGTTTCCCAGTACTGGGTTGCAGCTGGAAGGGCATCCACTGTGTAAAACATATGCTGGATAAGTTGGCTGTTCATTTCGCTGTAGTGATCCTGATGAATAAAGGGACTAAGCTAAAGGAAAACGAATGCATAAATATGTCATTATACTGTATGTAATCATACTGTATGTACAACTTTTTTTCTTAAGGCAAAAGAGCATTTCTACATGATTAGTGATAACATTTTTTTCAAGTGATAAGACCTGTGCTGAGCTTAGTGTTGTATTTGTTTAGTTACATGTCAGTCAGAAACTATTAGCCACATGTCGGGCCAGTTTGAGTGAAACTAAAACTGAAATTAATGACTACTAAAAAGAATAAAATGTTGAAAAAAAGCATTTTGCTTATTTCTGATCAAATGGCTGCTTTAAAATGCTTATCCTGCTATTTATCATATTATTATTATAATGACTATTAAAGGGGATCTATTATTCAAAAATCACTTTATAAAGGGTTTAAACACAGTTGTCTGGCAACTTTGCTTGTGGCAACTTATAGTAAAAATGAATTCTCTAATTATTTTCTTATCTGCAGAAACACTTTGAATGACATTCTTCCTTTGTATATGCCATCAGAGTGGTAAAGCCCCACCCATTAATGATGATCTCTCCTTCATTAGCATAGGGCGTTAGTCTTGTTTTTAATTTGCCACTATGCTGACACACAGGCATTGTAGCTCCAGCTGCTTTGGAAAAAGAGCACAATCTCTTTCAAATTTAACAAAATGACACAACTATTATTAAAACCTAAAAGAAGCAGTTTCAAAGAGTTATCAAACATTATTTGTAGAGTATTTTGAGCTGAAACTTTACAATAACACTCTAGGGACATCAGCGATTTTATTTTACATCTTGTAAAAAGGTGCAGGGTCCTCCTTAAAGGGTCAGATTAAGTCTACCTCAAAATGTTTTGCTTCATGATAGTTGTGAAGCACTGTGAGCAGAGGGAGGAGTGGGCATGGCCGGCAGAGCAAGGGCTTTTGTCAGTTGGCTCTTCACCAACCAATCATGACCCATGATTTTATAGTTTACAAAGTTAAAATGCAATGAAATAAACAGTAAGTAATTTAATGCTGTTACATATATGTGTCTTAATGGTAACAAACTCAACTGATTAAAGGCAAAGTCCGCCATTCTCCAATTCTCGTGCAGCTCTCCTGACAAAAATGCTTGCTGCACACAAACACTATGGCTGTATCGGTGTCCCACCAGACAGCATCACGCAGAAAGCCATGCAACAAACTCTGTGGATCATGAAAACAAACACATACAAGCCTTCATGAACAGCTAAATGATATGTGTCGTCTCCCAGCATGCACATGCTGTCATGAATAATTAAGAAGCAGGGTCTTCTCATAGGATAATAAAACTTCACTATAAATATTATTAAGAAAACGACGTGTCATAAATCCATTAGCAGATGCGTGATACGTCACCGATTTTGATTCCGCCGCAAAAATTATTTTAAACCTGAAAGATTAAATTAGCTGACAAAAGCTCCAAATGATCCATTTTCCCTCACAAAGCTGACAAGTGCTAACGTTGTCTTAAATGATGCTCAACACACACAAATCTGTGAAAATAAAAAAAGCACTCCAGGGTGTCTTGAACTTTTAATCTACATATAAACTTTATAGTTATTTGTTGTAAAAAAAATTATTTAAACTTCATGCACTTACATTCTATCCTAGAATTATGACAACAATGATCACGGAAACTGAGGAGCATTTCATTTCAGATGATGATTTATTTTTCATAGAGTTTTTAAATTAAGACTCAGTTGTTTTTTTATTGTACTGACTTCTCTTTCTCTCTTCTCCTCTTCTCAGCTCAAAGTAAATGGAAATGTATCATGGCAAACAATTCCTGAACTTGACTTGAAGAACGTGTCTTTTGAAGAGCAAAGTCACAAAGCTCAATGTGGATTTAACTACCTGAAAATAGCACTTAAGCAGATCAAAAAACACCAGGAGGATCTAGTTGGCAAGAACGACGACATCGTTAAAAAAATAGATATTATGATTCTTGAGATCAGGCGTACCATCAGTTGTGTTAAACACTGTTTGAGGAATTGCACAAACGTGAGGACGGACGAGTTTGATAAATATGATATATATGAAATAAAACAGTGGGGCCGCGCGGTCATTGAGTCCTCTGTAGCCTTTCTTGGTGAGCTGAATAACCTCAAAACAATCAACCAGTGTTTTACAACGACCAACAGGAAATCAAACCAAATCACACTTGGCGCCAAAGACATGGAGCGTTTTACCCAAGGCTAGTTTATGCTAATTGTCAGCTGGACTTATTTATTTAATGAAAAAAGTGTTATTTATAAGAATTTGAAGTGTATTCTTGTGCTAATTTGTTTAGCCATATTTATAATATATATTTTTGCACTATTTAACATTTTGTATTTTATTAGAATGCTCACTATTTGCGATATTTATATTACTGTTCGTGTTGTTTTGCATCAATACAACAATAAAATGTTATTTATAATACATTTGCTCCTTTGAATATTTTGTATCTGTTTTATATTGTCACCATTTAACATTATACAGTTAAAGTCAGAATTATTAGCCCCCCTTTTCATTTTATTTATTTTTTTAAATGTATCTTAAATGATGTTTAACAGAGCAAGAACATTTTCACAGTATGTCTGATAATATTTTTTCTTCTAGAGAAAGTCTTATTTGTTTTATTTCGGCTAGAGTAAAAGCAGTTTTTAATTTTTTAAAATCCATTTTAAGGTCAGTATTACTAGCCCCTTTAAGCTATATATTTTTTCGATAGTCTACAGAACAAACCATCATTATACAATAACTTGCCTAATTACCCTAACCTGCCTAGTTAACCTAATTAACCCAGTCAAGCCTTTAAATGTATCTTTAAGCTGTATAGAAGTGTCTTGAAAAATATCTAGTCAAATATTATTTACAGTCATGATGGAAAAGATAAAATCAGTTATTAGAAATGATTTATTAAAACTATTATGTTTAGAAATGTGTTGAAAAAATCTTCTCCACTAAATATAAATTGGGGAAAAAATAAAGAGGCGGGCTAAAAATTCTGACTAACTATACATTTTCATTAATATATATAATTATTGATACTGCATTCATAATCTTACATGCAAATGTTATTAGTAAACATGCTTTGCACTTTGAGTAATAATGTTGTTCTTTTAATTGCAAAATAAAATATTTACAATAATTTAACAGTAATCATTTAATTTAGCAGTAGTGTTTATTACACTTTTCATTTAATAAAAACTTTATTTTAATAAACTTACTTTGTGTAATGTTTTACTTAAGTTAATACAATTGTAAAATATAATTTACTGTATGTGTTTGCACTTTTTAATAGTTGGTATATCAATTAAAAATTCTGTCATTATTTAATATGAAAATATTTATACTATTGTTTTATCAAACCATATTGTTTTGCATCATAATTCAGTCAAATAATTTCTGAAAATCATTTTAAGAGTAGTGTTAAATTGTGTTTGATTGAAGAGTTCTTAAATATTCTGGGCTACAAAATAGTAAACCATTAGATAAAGCTAAGTAAGGAAGTTTTGTAAGGAGGTTTTGCTTATTAAATTGATGAACAAGCTGTATTTGTGTGTAAACGTTAACCACATTTGTTAAGTACTAATAAAGTTTTTTAAAAAGCAAGAAAAGTGCTTAATTCCACTTTCGCAAATATGTAAGAAATCTATCTTTTTTTTTAACGAACATGAAAACATTATTTAAATTACATTTACTTTACATTGTATTTTTATATCATATTTCAGTTGGATGCCAACATTTGTTTGTAATATTTTGCAATTTCAAGATTTTTTGTGTGAAATTATCATTATACTTACCGTGAAAATAATATCTATAGTACTGTTACTGAATAGATATTGTCCATTCAGTACAACAGTAATATTTTGCTACACATATTAGCAGCATTAGAATGTTAATTGTTCAAGCAGGAAGCAGGTGGTCGGCTCCGTCTTATTGCTAAGTCTACAGTGTAATACTATAGTCTCCAGTGAGCATCATTAATCAAACTGTCAGATGTGGCCATGAAAAACTTGAGCTTGTTAATTTTCTAATTTCAGTGCAGATGTTTTTTTTTTTCTTCTTGTGGAATAATCAGGATGATTAATTGTTTAATAGCAGGCATGTATCCCCATGTGACGTCTTTATTTTGGCCTCTGGCAATTTTTGAAAAACTCTTGTTTGGAGGTAAATATGAACTCCAATTATTTATTGACATTGTCTTACACATTCATGGCCTTTTGTAAAATAAAAAAAAAAGTAGAAGAAACTTATGTTGTGCTTGTTGTTCCACCGGCAATTCAGTAGACATCTAACCACATAATCTAAAGCAAGTTAGGCATGAAGCCAAATATGACAGGATTCTGACCTGATGCACACCAAATTCTAATATTTCCTGATCATATCTACTGCTCAACAGTTATAGTCATTTTTTGAAACCATAACACCATTTTTACACAATTTTATAGAGACTTGAGAGTAATGGGTTACCAATGGATATTTTATATATTCAAGTAAGGAATTTGATTTCATATTCTCCTGTAAAAACATTAGGCATGCACCAAATATTCAGCCACCAAAAATTCATGGTGAAAGATTTTTATCACAGAAACAAAACTCCCAAACATTTGTTGCATATTTTAATAATTAATATTAATTTGATTGACTGTATAAAAATCTGTGGATATTATTGATGCATTTATTGGGTGAAATGACATGGCTACTTTTTACAGTAATAAGTCCCCAGCCCTAGAAGTGAAACCCATTGTTGCAATGTGCTAAATAAATATTTTCATAATTTGTAATGATTTATTCTTTGAAAGTTTAATATTATTTTATACAATAACTTAATTTTAGTAAGGCTAGTACGCAATCATAGCCATAAATCCAATGGTACTAAAATTGGCATAATTCATTTTGGTGTTTCGACCTTGTTTTCATTTGGGTGCACCCCTAAAAAGCACTCAGTTTAGGCCTGGTGAAAATCTGGTAAATTCAATAGAGCACTAATGTCCTTAAATAAATTTTTCGCTATTGAGTGATTTCAAACCATTAAGCTGCGGTCACACTGGGCTTTTCCTCCCATAGACTCCCATTCATACGCACACAAATAAGTCAGACTGGAAACGCAGGGTCATGCTTTAAGTTTCGCAGGTTGCTACAGTGCAAAGTTCAAGCTTGGAGAACTCTGACCTGCGAAATCGCATCACTTGACTGCATGAGACCAATTGAGGATCAAAACATGACTGCTGTGGACAGAAATTTAAAACATAGAGCAATCGCTCGCTTTTTTAATGTATAATAATCTTGTTTATTCGCGCCCCTTTTCGCAGTGCCGCACGACAGAATATCGCACACACAATCTCTAGTGTGACCACAGCTTTATGCGTTTCTTTCTTCTGTTCAACTCAAAAGAAGATATTTTCAAGAAAGCTGAAAACCTCTGTAAGCTGAAAAAATATGATATATATTTCCTTCTATGCTAATGAAGGACTACTGAGACATTCCAAGCATGGGATGGGTCCTCCTGGTGAGGCAGAGTTCCTCACAGCTCCGATACACATCTCTGCCATTTGCTTACAGTAACCATGTGCCTTTCTCCATACACAATTAATCTGCTCGTGTTCTTCTTTCAGATAACTTTGTCATGTTTGGTGTCATTTGACAGTTTATGACTTCAGTGTTGTAGTGATGAAATCAACAGAGACATTGATTAATTGTATTTCAATCTACAATATATTTACTATTGTTGGGTCATGGCCTGAGGAGAGTATGTTAATGTACTTCTCCCCCACTTCATCTCTTCAACTTTGTTCTCATGTTCAGCTGGTTTTGGGGGTTGGTTTTCACTTATGTTTGACAATGCTTTGCTCAGGGTATAATAGGGAAAGGTAACTGTTGATCTGGGAGAATGGCTTTTACTCTGCATCTCCCGCACACTGGTGCGTAGCCTCATATGCTAACAAAGGCAGTTTCACTGTCTTTGTTGCTCAGCAGTGCATATGTTACAGCTAATTTCTTTATACAGTATCTTAGTTTATTTCATTCTAATGTCTGTATATTTGATCATGTAACTTAATAAACAACTTTGCCTGCTTTAAGACGTAGAGATTCTTTCTCTTTATCAATGATGATAACAACTTTAATGGAGTCAGATTAATTACAATGGAGTCAGATAAATAATGGATTTAAACACGCCATCCTTCAACTGCTTCCTGTTTCCGATTATTGGTTCAGAATAGCAGCGCAAGCTTCAAGCCTTACACCTCCAACCATCCACAGTAGAAAAGGAAATACATTATGAAACATAACACATTTTCAGCATTCTTCAAAATATCTTCTTTAGTGTTCAACTGAAGTAAGAAACTCAATGACAGAATTTTCATTTTTGGACGAAATATCCATTTAAGCCAAAATAAATGAAAGAATAAATATATAATGATATTTTAGATAGTTTAAAATCTAAATCTGGTGTACGTTTTCATTGACTACACATGTGGCACAATATGAATAATCACAAAAATTGAATTGTGTGATGGGACTGCTATTAAAAAAAAAATGAAAATAGTTATCTGTGAACAGTTTATTCACATTTGAATTTTCGGAGTACAACAGGGGTGTCCAAACTCGGTCCTGGAGGGCCGGTTTTCTGAAAAGTTTAGCTTAACTTCCTTCAACACACCTGCCTGGAAGTTTCTAGTATACCTAGAAAGAGCTTAATTAGCTTCATCAGGTGTGTTTAATTTGGGTTGGAACTAAAATATGTAGGACACCGGCCCTCCAGGACCGAGTTTGGACACTCCTGGTGTACAACAATCATTATCGTACATCTGTACAACATATGCTTTGATTTAAATGTATTCATTAAAATTTGCCAAATTCTGTGACATTTCACAATATACTGAACATTATAATTTTAGATTGGATTCTGATATCCCATTCTTATTTACTGCATTGCGTAAATCAAAAGACCTTAAAGGGATAGTTCACTCGAAAATGAAAATTCTGGCAAAATTTACTTACTCTACATTTGTTTGAGTTTCTTCTGTTAAACACAAAAGAAGATATTTTGAAGAAAGATAAAATTCAGTAACTTCCATAGTAGTTGTTTTTCCTACTATGGAAGTCAATGGTTACATATTTTCAGCTTATTCAACAGAGGAAAGAAACTTCGGTTTATAACCACTTGAGGATGAGTACATTTTCAATTGAGCTATCCCTTTATCCTCATGTATATTTTTTAATTAAAGCACAATAACATTTACTGTGTAACTTATTATGCTACAAATTGTTTTGAACTAACCACATCTGTTAGCAAAGTCAGACAAAAAGAGAAACATCCTCAATTATAAAGCTACATAAAATCACATTTACTTTATTAAATTATTACACCTCTTACATGCAGATTATCACATAAATCAGATCTCACACTGGGTGTGAGGGGTGCTGTCATCATCTGAGGTGCTTTCGGTTTGTTTCCATGAGTGTTTTAAGCATGAAGCAACAAAGCGATGACTCTTTCTGGAATCCCACCCGATGATAAAATTAGCCAGGTTATGTTGTCATCTTAGTATGACGAGCAAAGAAAAAGAAAATGGGCGGACTGTTTGACAAGATGTTCGTCACTGATGAGGTAAAAAATAGATACTACACACATATATGCAGTGTAAAGTCTTTTTCAAGTCGTTATGATTGTGCACCACTCAGAATATTGTTCATTTTGGCCTATCGGGACCCCTGAGAAGAGTCGCAAGAAATGTCCTTCATTACTCGAAGCTGGTTTGCTGGCGTCATATTGGCAGCAGTTCTGGTGGGCTTTCACCATAGCAGTATTTCGCCTGTGGGTTCCTGTAGGTGTTTTCATGTTGGACGCTCTGAAACAAGAGAACAGCAAGTGTGATTTAGTTCTGCCCATGGTGACCAGCTGAGATTTATTAGCACAATAATCAGTTATTTGGACATGAATTCTGGTGTGGAATAAGGCTGCACAATATACATTTTTAAATTATTGTTATTGCAATAATAGTACACTCAAATAAGTACTTTAGCTGCTTTTTTTTTTCAAACTACTTGTGTAAATGAGTTAAAGCAACACAGTTCTTAAGTTTTTTTTTTGCAGACAACTTAATTGTTTTATGTTCAATTCACTTAAATTTGTAAAAACAATTAAGTTAACTTAATTGATTTGTGTTGGGACAACATAAATTTTTTACAACATTTTTTACAGTGTATATTAGGGCTGCACAATAGATCGTTTCAGCATCGATATCACAATGTGCGCATCTGCAATAATCACATCGCAGGATTTACAATGTTGAGTCTGGATTATAGTAAACAAAAAACACAGGAGTTTTCGAGTCACTGCTAAGATTAAACATAATAAAGTGAAGGTTTATCATATGAATGTGTTTTTAAGGCCTGTGACGGAGTATTTCAAGAGAGATTAAAACTTCTGAGCACAAGAAATTATCACTAATGGAGGCTTAACAAAGATTAATTGCATTTAATTATTTTGTTGAATGTGATAGTATTAATTTACATTAACAAAAAAAAAAAAATTCTTAGAATTAAACAAGATTATTTTAAGGAAAATCCCGCTTAATTTTGAACTTATTTTTGAACGTATATTTTTTTTTAAATATTTGGACTACAAACTAGGCAAACCTAAGTAATTTGCATTGTGATTACTCAATTTCTGTACCTAAATGCTAGGGATGCCCAGATCAGGATTTTAGCAGCCAATACTGAGTACAGATACCAAGTACAGATTCTCGTGCTTTAAGCTTTATATAACTTTGCCATTGCATATTTTGCAATTCCAGCATTATGGATGTGACATCTGCGGTGTAAATTTAAAACATAATTGACAGAGAAAGAATATGCTAACATTATGAAACATCTGCTTATATTTTCCTGAACAACTGACCACAGTTATAAAAAAAATCAATCTGTAGACATGTTTTGTATTTTAAATGAGGAAAATAAACAAACAAATAAACAAAATGGATGTGACCAAAAAAAGTCTGAGTTTACAGTCTACAACATGCTTAGTTAAAAATCTGTGAATTAAATTGCACCACCCAAAATAAATAATGATAATCAAAGCATAAGAGTTGGCTCACTATAGAACAAAAAATATTTATTTAATTTTATGGATATATATGAGTGAGATAGAGGTCTTTTTGCGGTACAAGTCAATGTCTGCATCAATCTGAGCAGTGTGCTGTGTTCTGCTGTCCCCATGACTGTTATTAGTTGTATTCCCAGACTTGTATTTCACCAGTCTGGCAGTGCCTGCATACTGTTTTTTCTTTGTCTGTCACTTTTTCTCCTTTCTCATATCTTTTTAGAAAGAAACCGAAATGCTTCCACACAAACGATTTAAAACCCACTTTAGGTTCGATCACTTCCAGTTTTTTTTCTTCCCCGTTAAGTAGCACAATCCATTTCCGCATTACTGGATCTGTAGTGACAACAGACCTCAAAGGATGATGGCCACGCCTGGGCTGATAGGATAGCCCATGTACAGTAGTTCCCGCTACCTCCTGTTCGCTTCATTCGCCTAAGCAACTTTTCTCAGAAGACCTATAGTTTTATCGAGTCATGCGACTACTGTAATATTGAAGAAAAATTGCTATTGCGGTATGACGGTATTTACAATACTGTTACATCCATAGTGAAAACTTTTTTTTCACAGCATGGTTGACATTTGTGACATGAAATTGCTCCTCTATATATGAGATCTCGCCTTACCTAATAAAATAAATTAAGAATGTTGCATACATATAATGGTCAGAAACAGCTTTACAAAAAATAATAGATAAAAAAAAGGTTAGAAAAACTACTAAAAATCCAATTTGGAAACATTGCTCACGTGTTGTAGCGATGCAGATCCATAAGCTGGAGCGTGCACGTGCATCCTCCTCCGCTTGTAGACGAATACTTGAGATCGGCCAGATCAGAGTTCAGATAGAGTCGTGTAATTTGATTATCGGTCGATACCGATCTCTTGCCGATTAATCGGAACTTCCCTACTAAATACTTTAAAATACCTACATACAGCTCCCTAGAAAAAGTCAAATAAAGAATTGAAACCAGCTGGCGAAACTCTATTCATATCGCAATGTTTATTGCAAAAAGTTCAAATTACGCAATGTCAAATTTTTACAAAATCGTGAAGCCCTAGTTTATATGGAATTTCAATATTGCAGTGAAGTGCAATACATTTAATTAATTTAACGTGCTGTTAGGTAAACCTACAGCTGAAAATAAATACTAATGCCGGGAGATGAGAAGAAAATTAAATGGGAAAAAAAAGAATCAATAAGAATCAGAATTTCTGATGAGGTTTTCAGTCAATCGTAATGTTTTGTCAAGTTATGCACGATTTTAGCCCTGTTTTTTGCTCGTTGGTTTTGTGAAATCGCCGACAAAGGCAAATCGGTGCTCAGTCACACGAGTAACAATGACACAGTGTGAATTATCAAAAACGAGATCAGAGAGAATTGACAATGCGTTGCAGACACGAAATGCCCATGAAATATTTGGAGTGCTAAATATCTGAACCTGTTGCCGTGTAAAAAAGTTCTGACTAAAAAAAACACATCAGTGATGAACTACAGTCAAAGAGACCAAGATAAAGCTCAGTGAAGAGTTCGGGTAGGAGCTATAAACCACAATATCAAAATAAATAAGCTTTACAATAACAGTATTGTTTTTAAATGAGATGTATAATCACAACAGAAACAAAAAAAAAACAATTATGCTTGATCAGCCGCACCAGCAGACCTCCACATTTACTGAACGCACAATATTTGTTTCCCTGCTGCTTTACAAACATTTCCTCCTCCATAATCTCCTTTTTTCCCGCCCTTTTGATTTAAATAAGCGTTCAGCACACACACCATTTGAATGACAGATTATTTCAAATATTTATTGCACCCTTTCCAGACTCGCATGTGTTCTTGAGTCATCCTATGACTTCTCGTGTGCGTTTGTGAGCCAGACAAAGTTGTAGGTGACTGTTTTATAGTCATACAGTGTGTATCCTCATGTCATAGATCCATCATGCAGTATGAACACTGCAGCTACTGAAAGCTACCCTAGATAGTCATACAGTGTGAAAACCACGGTGATACAAAGGTTATGAAAATCATGCAGCGTTAGGGCCTGGCGATTTGGCCTAACATCAAAATCTCGATTAATTGAACATTTTTAACACGATTAATGAATGATATATATATATATATATATATATATATATATATATATATATATATATATATGTATAAATTTTTAACCTTCATACTTCACTGACAAGGTTTGTACAGTAAATATGCTCACATTTTACATTTGATTATTTATTAAACATCAACATTGAACAACTGAAATTAAAACACACATTGCCTTAAACAAACAGTTAATTTTTCCTTATAAAAAGTGTAAATAATTAACTTAAACAAAATGAACAAAACAAAATAAATTATTTTCAGTGCTTTTCATATAAAAAAAGTAGAAAATAAGCAGTATCACTTCTAAATAAAATAACTCTTGTATACCTGTAAATAATACTTTAAACAGTGCATTTTTTTTGTTTCATCTATAAACAAATATTTTAATTGTAAATAATGATTCAAATCATTCCGCTGTAATGACCCTAGATTAATAAAAGGACTAAGCCGATAAGAAAATTAATAAATAATTTGAATGTAATGGAAAATACGCCGTGTCAAGGTATCTCTGGCGCAGTTTACAATCGCATCATCAATTTAGTGCATAGTAAGGCTCAAGAATGGGTTCATCAGACTTTAAAGGCTGATTTATACATCTGCACTGAGTGATCGGCATGACCAACGGTGCTTACCATGAGCGTAGTCATGCACTTATACTTAAGCATGTTGTTTATGTTGCTCTGCAATAACACTTACGTAACGCTAACTGGCAGCAGGTTTTTATGTTCCTCTATGTCGAGTTTCTTCACGATGGTTTGGCTTTTTCTGAATGCTACCTTAATGTACAAGAAGCTAAAACTTGCACATTTTAGAGGCGGGAAAAGGCAGACGTGGAACATCTTTAATCATAGGGTAAACACAAAACAGCTCCTCCACAGGACTCCACACTAGAGGTGTGAACCTACACTAGTCGGTTACGATTATCATGCCATCGATTCGGTTCAATTCGATATTTCGGTGCATCACGGTGCATTGACGGTGCTTTCCATACACAGTTTTATATTTTCTTCACAGCAGCATTTCTTGTATTAAAATGTATGAATATATTTATATACTATTTGTAATACAATTTTGTCATTTAATACAAACAGTCAGATATATAAACTGTAACTTTAAACAAAACGAGCATTTAGCAAATAATATAAACAAATATAAATATCCAGCTCAATTTCTGATCCTTGTCTAGTTCTCTTACACCCCTTTATTGGTCACACCCTCAAAAAAAGGGTGTGCTCTTCACAGATGAGTGACACTGAGCGGCAGGCGGCAGCGGCGATCTCACTGCTGATGTATGATACACAATGGAGAAAACTCTGCAGACACGCGCTCATTTCTGGATGTAAAAGTAACGATGTAAAACAGCCGAGAAGAGAAGAAAAGCCACGCCAGCAGGTCAAATGGGCCACTGTGTGTGGCTGTGTGAGAAAGAGAGAGAGAGAGAGAGAGAGAGAGAAAGAGAGAGAGAGAGAGAGAGAAAGAGAGAGAGAGAGAGAGAGATGGAGTAGGCTACTTTCATTCTCTCGATCTCAGTGAAATAGGGGCTATTGTTGTATATGTCAGTGAAAGACTGATCCAGCAAACACACACAGTGAAATTGTGCACAGTTATGAGTTTTAAGTAGTTAAAGCGCTGTAAATACGCGCGATCGCCTCCCTCGCGACAGAGCGCATATGAGGTAAATGATGTCAGTAATAACCGGTTATGATTATTACTGAACCGATACAGAATTGTCCGCGTCTGCATCGCAGTGCACCGAAAAAACTATTATTTTTGACACCCCTACTCCACACTTGTAAAAAATCTTTCAAGGATTAGGATGCTGATAACCATTAAATGCATCATTACCGTCTTGTGAAAAGGGTCAATAACCCAACTTTTTAAAAGAGCTTTTTAAGGACTTCCGGTATAGCAATGAAGGAGTAAGGTGCGTGGAAGAAGGGCTCCCAATCTACTTTATTAAATTAAACCTGCTAAACGCTAAATATTTCCAGTTACTGTTAATTGATTTGTTTAGAACATTATCGGCCAAAATATGAGTAATTCTAAGCCGAAGCAAGCTCATCCTTCAGCTCCACCGACAACGAGATCTACCACGAGCATCGCTAGCAAGTTAGCAACCATGGCCGCCGCCGCCTCCAGTGCTGAAAAACAGGTCACGTCAGAAACTTTTGAATCCGTATCCATAGACCTGTTGATTTCTGAATTAACTAAAAGAGCTTTTTAAACTGGGTTATATCCTGGGCTATTGTCATAAACCCTGGTAAAGGTAAACATTTTGCTAGTAGGTGGCGGCAAGACTTTATTTTAATGAGTGATTAATTTCAATGATTTGTTCAAAATGGCTGAATCATTCAGAAATTAAGCAAGTCGTCATGAATGGATCATTGAATCATTGACCTTATTTCATCACAAATAGATTAATTCAGGAGCATCATGTACATGAAATATATGCATTGTTGTCTTTAATGTATCAAAGATTTTGCCTAAAGTAGTTTGAACTTCACATTAAGCAAAAAATGTTAAATGTTGTAAGTCAAATTGTTAAAGTCGTTCCTTTTTATCCCAATTTATATATATATATATATATATATATATATATATATATATATATATATATATATATATATATATATATATATATATATATATATATAAAGTTCAGTGAACTCCAGCATGAAATATTGTTGTAACATGTAATTGCATGTTTTGGGGAAAAGAGTCCTGGTGTATCTCAGTGGATGACTTCAAGATTGCCTAGCCTAAGAAAACATTATTAAAAGAAAAAGAAAAAATATATATGTTTTGGTGCATCTTGAGAGTCTAGACGGTGACTCTTGTTGAAATAGAAATATGCAGCTTTTAAATTTTTTTTTAAACATGTTTGCTCAGCCAGAGTTGCCTCGAAGTGCAACGTGCATGACATTACAGTAAAAGACATGTCATGAATGCAAACCAGCAGCCAAAATTGGGTCTTGTATGCTCATTTTTGTTGAGTCCAGTTTTGCGCTTATGGAGATACATCAACTTTAAACTCTGCTTTAAAGTGTGCCACACTCACCTGTGAGGAAGTTCGACACTTGGCAAGACACAGCTCAAAGTGATCTTCCACTGCAGTGAAGAGGTTTTGAAAGCCTTCTGCAGCTCGGTTTAGAAAACGCTCCAAAAGAGGTTGCTGATGGGAAGAGAGCAGGAGAGTTCACAAGGGAGTTTCCAACAACAGTGGCCTGATTTTGCATTCCGGTTAAGTGACACATATCTGGTGATCAACAGCTCGCTATTGCTTTTTTGCTAAATAAAAAAACACAGCATTTATTTCTAGCTGTTTTTTTTTTTTTTTTACAGATTTACATGATTTTTACATGATGAACTTATGGGAAAAAAAATAAAAATATGCAGCTTAAGTTCCTGTGAATTTTCTTTTAAAAATATTTCCCAAATGATGTTTAACAGAGCATGGCATTTTTATAACAGTATTTCTTATAATATTTTTTCTTCTGGACAAAGCTTGTTTGTTTTATTTTGTCTAGGATAAAAGCAGTTTTTTTTTGTTGTTTTTTTTTTAACAATTTTAAAACAACTGTAAAGTCAATATTATTATATTTATTCTTTTTTTGATTGTCTACAGAACAAACTATCTTTATACAAAGACTTGCCTAATTTAAGCCTTTAAATCGCACTTTAAGCTGAATACTAATATCTTGAAAAATATCTAGTAAATGAATATGAGTCTATAAATTGGTATGAATAATTTCAGGCTTGGCAGTACATATAGAAGAGTCCAAGAGTGATCAAATCCTTTCCTTAAAAATATCTCTAAGTTTAGTCATGGAATCTAATTTTTTTTTTCATTTTTGCAACTTCAGAAGTTGCAACATGTTTCTGCAGTTACACTCACAAAACGGAAGAAACAAACCACAGTGAGTCTCCACACTTTTGAAGTGCCATTTACAAAAGATACTATTATATGACACTGCAAGTGACCTAATGACTGACACATGGTCTTTGACACAAGTATAAGATGGAAAAATAGTAAATAGTTCCACTTTCATAGGAACTTTCACAGACCCCAAATGAGTTAACTCAAATGAGTTGCATTACTCTGGCAGACAAAAGTATTTAAAAGACAAAAAAAGAATGTACAGTTTACCCAACATTACATTACTTTTGGACAGGCTCACATTTTTTTAAAATGTTGTGATTAATTGCTGAAGCTTTTATCACGGATTTGACCTGAGCTGCAAAATAAGCTACTTTAACGGGTATAATAACCAAAAAGTACTTAATGTATTTATTTATTCATACATGCTATGTGTAAACAAATGTATCAACAACATTAAATTACAAAAGCATAATAAAGTACAATGTGTAACACTATAACATTATAAAATGTTAGTTAATGGATTTAACTCAACATTGGGAAAAAAAAAATTATTGTAGTAATTAGTTAAAGAAAACCAATTAGGACTGATTAATCAAATTATGACTGTTTTCAAAGCATTATTAGGTATTAAGAACTTTAACATAACCTAGGATTAATAAAAATATTTAGTAGTTTTCATCACAAGTTTATTTCAATTAACTATTATTAACTATTGGAGCCTTATTGCACTTTTTAAATGTATAATAGCCCTATAAATAGTCAAAACATTTTCTAACAATATTCCAGCATGTTGTAGGCCAGATTAACAAAGGACAAAGTTAATGTGCAAACTATTAAGCTAACCAATAAAGACCTTTGGTGCAGTTATGAACACCACTGCAAATACAATGTCAATATTCATTTAAATAATAAAGATTTATTCACCTCCATCAGAGATGAAACCTTTAATCAACGTTTACATTTTAAATAAGTGGCAAGAGGAGTGGGATGCATTGGAAAATAATTAATTACATGAAATCCAACCTGAAATCTCAAACAGAATTTTAGGATATTCTAAGACTAGATTTGATCATAGATTTGACTAGATGGTGATTTTTACCAGATGTCATATTGGATATACAAGATTAGCCCACGCCTTTTTATTTAAAGATGAAGACCCCACTCAATGTTTGTTCTGCATAACTCCTCTTACTGTAAAACATATTTTACTGGACTGTCCTGCTTTTATGAAATGAACTCTCTTAAGGACACTTTTAGCAAAGTGACACCAGAATTTTTTTTTTTTAATTCTTATCATGTATTAACACTAGAAATCTTATTCAACTTGTGTATTCATTTGTTTGTTCTTAATTGTTTATTTATTATTGAAATGTTCTTGCCATGAAAATAGCCTTGGTTGCTGACATGGCAATTAATAAAAAATACATTACATTAATATTTATTCATTATACTTTGAAGTACCCGAGATGCAAACATTTTGCATGTTCATTATTACAATGCATTCACTGGCCACTTTATTAGGTACACCTGTCCAACTGCTTGTTAACGCAAATTTCTAATCAGCCAATCACATGGCAGCAACCCAATGCCTTGAAGCTGCGGTCACACTGGACTTTTCTCTCCATAGACTTCCATTAATATGCACGCGAATGCGTCAAACCGGAAACGCAAGGTCATGCGTTAAGTTTCGCAGGTTGCTGCGGTGCAAAGTTCAAGCTTGGTGAACTCTAACCTGTGAAATCACATCACTTGACTGCATGAGACCAATCAAGGATCAAAACATGACCTCTCTGGACAGAAATTTAAAACATGGAGCAATCGCTCGCTTTTTTAAATGTCTAAAGCTTGTTTAATCCCGCCCCTTTTCGCAGCGCTGCACAACAGAACATTGCATATACTCAAACTCTAATGTGACCACAGCTTTAGGCATGTAGACATGGTCAAGACAATCTGCTGCAGTTCAAACTGAGCATCAGAATGGGGAAGACAGGTGATTTTAGTGACTCTGAACGTGGCATGGTTGGTGTTGGCAAATAGGCTGGTCTGAGTATTTCAGAAACTGTTGATCTACTGGGATTTTTACACACAACCGTCTCTAGGATTTACAGAGAACGGTCAGAAAAAAAGAAAATATCCAGCGAATGTCAGTTCTGTGGGCGCAAATGCCTTGTTGAGGTCAGAGGGGAATGGCCAGACTTTTTTGAGCTGATAGAAAGATAACAGTAACTCAAATAACTACTCGTACAACAGAGGTATGAAGAAGAACATCTCTAAATGCACAACACGTCGAACCTTGAGGCAGATGGGCTACAGCAGCAGAAGACCACGCTGGATGCCACTCCTCTTAGCTAAGAACAGGAAAATGAGGCTACAATTCTCACAGGCTCACCAAAATTGAACAATAGAAGATTTGAAAAGTGTTTTCTGGTCTGATGAGTCTCAATTTCTGCTGTGACATTTGGGGATGGTATTTGGCGACAACAAGAATTTGGCGACAACAACATAAAAGCATGGATCCATCCTGCTTTGTATCAACGGTCAGGCTGGTGGTGTAATGGTGTGAGGGAAATTTTCTTGGCACACTTTGGGCCCATTAGTACCAATTGAGCATCGTGTCAACGCCACAGCCTGTTGCTGACCATGTCCATCCCTTTATGACCATAGTGTTCCCATCTTCTGATGGCTACTTCCAGCAGGATAATAATTTCATAAAACGAGAATCATCTCAGACTGTTTTCTTGAAAATGACAATGAGTTCACTGTACTCAATTGCCCTCCACGGTGACCAGATCTCAATCCAATAGAGCATCTTTGAGATATGGTGGAACGAGAGATTCGCATCATGAATGTGAAGCCAACAAATCTGCATCAACTGTGTGATGCTATCATATCAATATGGACCAAAATCTCAGACGAATATTTCCAGTACCTTGTTGCATCTATGGCACGAAGGACTAGGGCAGTTCTGAAAGCAAAACCAGGTCCAACTCGGTACTAGTAAGGTGTACCTAATAAAGTGGCCGGTGAGTGTATATTCAATTAATGAAAATACTTTTGGATCCTGATTCTAGTACAAAACATCCCAGTCATCCATTTTTCTGGATTGTTTATGAAGTAAGAAAAGAAACAAAAATATGTTGTTTAAAGTACCTTGTCTGGTTGGAGGCAGCAGGAAACGCAGTACTCGTAGATGCTACAGCAGCCATTGGCCAGACAGCTTTTACACACATACTGGCTCGAGCTGGGAGCATTAACATTACAACATCCGTTCACCAGTAAATCCTTCCGCTCGCACACGTAACCTGAGGAGAAAGAAAGCGTATATAGACACAAATCCAAAAAAAGTCACGCATTAAAGCATGTTTTGGTTAGAGAATCGTTGTGTCCCTGTTCCCGACAATTGTAGTTGTTGATTTTATTCATATGCGAGCTGTCATTATCAGGAAGAAAACAAACAAAAAGTCCAAAAGCACTAGCTCTGTTTCCATCCAAAGATGCGAATTAAATGTATGCGCAAAACTATAGTATTGCATAAAAACTTGCGAATGAAGCAGCGTCTAATGAGTAAAAAAGAACAAAATCGACACTTCCTGTGGAATTTGCATGTTCTCCCCATGTTGGCATGGGTTTCATCCAGGTGCTCCGGTTTCCCCCATAGTCCAAAGACATGCACTAAAGGTGAATTGAATAAGCTTAATTGGCTGTAGTGTATGAGTGTGTGTGTGTGTGTGTGTGTGTGAGAATGTGTGTGTGGATGTTTCCCAGAGATGGGTTGGGGCTGGAAGGGCATCTGCTGCGTAAAAACTGAGAGGGTGCTCGCTGCAGAGCCATTTGAGGAGAGCTGAGCTCCAGTGAGGGGGAGCATGAGCTGTCGCTCCTCCTCCTGTAAGCTGTTTTAATGCGTACACCAACCCCACCCCTAACCCTACCCCCAGTGACATCACTCGTAGAAGAAGTGCAAAAAAGGTGGAGCTCAAGCTTAAGCTCCCCCTCGCTGGAGCTCAGCTCTCCTCAAATGGCTCTGCAGCGAGCACCACTTGTAAAAACTTGCTGGATAAGTTGGCGGTTCATTCCGCTGTGGTGACCCCTGATTAATAAAGGGACTAAGTCGACAAGAAAATTAATTAATGAATGTATGAGTGTCTTAACAGTACTGTGTTGCGGCTGGAAAGGCATCTGCTGCATAAAACATATTCTGCAATAGTTGGTGGTTCATTCCGCTGTGGCGACTTCTGATAAATAAGGGACTATGTCGAAGGAAAATGAATGAATGAATGAATGGCTGTATTGTATAGGATGACATGAGACACCTTTACTACTGTTTTTTCATTAAAAATCTTTAAATAAATGTAAAAACTACTGGCCTAACCATTTAACGAGTTATCACTTAGATGAAATCAAGTTTTGCCCTACGTTTTTATTTCATTGTTTTAAATACATTGCACTTGGATTTACAACACAGTGAACAGACTCGCACAATTCACTTTCAACAGCTTTATTTTGGCGAGTAGTTGTCTTATTCACTCACCCAGCTCATCAGTGAGAAGGCTCTTTCCCTGAATAGAGTTTCTGCACTGCGAGATCTGCCGGCTGCTGTTGCCCAGGATGAACTTAACCTTCCACTGGATGTGGTGGTCTGAGTCCCTCGCCTCCAGGAGAGTCCGATCACGGATCGTTCGCTCCTCCTGTACATGAAAGATTCAAATTAAGAAGCCAAGTGGAAAATAGACACATGCAATATGTTGACATTTTGGATTTAATTAGTGTTTATTTTTATATGTGGGCATCAGTCTGATTAAAACTCTTTTTGATCCTAGAAATAATATTGTTCTGTATTAGTCATTTTAAAGCAGGGGTCACCAAACTTGTTCCTGGAGGGCCGGTGTCCTGCAGATTTTAGATCCAGCCCTAATCAACTCACCTGCACAAGGTAATCAAGGTGTTACTAGGTATACTTGAAACACCCAGGCAGGTGTGTTGAAGCAAGTTAAAGCTAAACCCTGCAGGGACACCGGCCCTCCAGGACCGAGATTGATGACCCCTGTTTTAAAGTGTCAGTCTTGGAAAAGTCCATAACAGCTGGCCTTTACACAGTTCAATTATGTTTACAATTATACTGCCTGCATTTTGGGAAGAAAAATAAGTTAAGCCCGTATTTGGAACTGTCATCACAAGAATACAATTTTTACATTTGATTATACAATATACTCCATTAAAACCATAAAATGCTTTTCATTTTTATCTTTACTTCACTCACTGTTTTTATCAATGCTTCCGATTGATTTATTATATTTTATTTTGCTGATTATATTATTTTTTCTTAATTATATACTTATTTAACTCATTTCAAACCATCTAAATCAGACATCAAATAGAGCTATTCATTTCATCTGATGAAAGTTTACTCAAGATCGCAAATAAAATATGGCCATGTCAGTATATTTTGTAATATGATGCAGGCCTATTACACAATATTTAAGAAAGTTGTGTTGCTGTTTTGTTTGGCTTGAATAACAGCAGCTGTTAATTTTTCTAAAGATCAATATTATTAGCCCCTATATATATATATATATATATATATATATGTATATGTATATATATATATATATATATATATATATATATATGTATATATATATATATATATGTATGTGTATGTGTTTCTGATTGGCTACAGAACAAACCACTTTTATACAATGACTTGTCTAATTACCCTAACTTGCCTAGTTAACCTAATTAACCTAGTTAAGCCTTTAAATTGCACTTTAAGCTGAACAACAGTATCTTGCAAAATAAGTAGCAAAATACTGCCATCACGGCAAAGACTAAATAGTTTTGCTTACTAATTTATAACAAATAAATTTACTACGTTAAAAAAATCTCTCCGATAAGCAACACTTGGGGCTTTATTTTAACGATCTAGGCGCAAAGTCTAAATCGCAAGGCACATAAGCATTTAGGGCATGTCTGAATCCATTTATGCTATTTTAGGAACGGAAAAATATGATCTGTGCTGCGGCGAATGGTCTAACAGGGTTTTGCTTATTCTTTTAATGAGTTATGGGTGTGTTTTGAGCATAATGCGCATTTAAGAGTCAGTTGCATTGCGCCGTGGCGTATTTGCTATTTCAATGGTGGACTTTGTAAGTGGAAAAACTGAATGCTTCACTAGCGAGAAACCAGTTGAACAGAGCATCTGCAGCGCGAGGATAAAGAACAAGCCTCTTCCATTCGGCCTATTTACTTTACTTTTACTCTTTACTTTACTCCTTTACTTTTGTGAATAAGGAAACGGTTTGTACGCACTCCACTGAAGACATCTATTAGCCTACATATTTATTTTGTTCGATAAGCGCAAAGATTTGTTTCAAAACTATTTGTAAATTAGGCTTTAATTTCCAACAAATGAATAAACGAACAGTAATAATTAAGTTTGGTCAAAAAAATTAGTTTTATTTAAACTCGCATCCTATGCCCCATATGCTCCAAAACCTGACAGATGGACAAGTCTAAGCTTGTTTTAAAAAATGTTTGAAAATTAGTTGCACTGGTCTAAAAATAGCAACAAATCATGCAAAACACGTTGAGGTGCCTTATTGCACCGAGTGTATGATAGGGACCTTGAAATTTCACACTGAGGGCTAATAATTTTGACTATAATATATGAAGAGCTGAGATGCGAAAAACCTCTAAGAGCCATCGGAAACCAGTTGAACCTACATGACTGCTGTACATTAAAGAGACGTGCTTGATCTTCCTATACTTCAGCATTTTATATATATATATATATATATATATATATATATATATATATATATATATATATATATATATATATATATATATGTATGTATATGTGTGTATGTGTGTGTGTGTGTGTGTGTTTCTGATTGGCTACAGAACAAACCACTTTTATACAATGACTTGTCTAATTACCCTAACTTGCCTAGTTAACCTAATTAACCTAGTTAAGCCTTTAAATTGCACTTTAAGCTGAACAACAGTATCTTGCAAAATAAGTAGCAAAATACTGCCATCACGGCAAAGACTAAATAGTTTTGTTGACTAATTTATAATAAATAAATTTACTACGTTAAAAAAATCTCTCCGATAAGCAACACTTGGGGCTTTATTTTAACGATCTAGGCGCAAAGCCTAAATCGCAAGGCACATAAGCATTTAGGGCATGTCTGAATCCATTTATGCTATTTTAGGAATGGAAGAATATAATCTGTGCTGCAGCGAATGGTCTAACAGGGTTTTGCTTGAAAATTAGTTGCACTGGTCTAAAAATAGCAAAAAATCATGCAAAACACGTTGAGGTGCCTTATTGCACCGAGTGTATGATAGGGACCTTGAAATTTCACACTGAGGGCTAATCATTTTGACTATAATATATGAAGAGCTGAGATGCGAAAAACCTCTAAGAGCCATCGGAAATTTTTAGTCTAAAATTAGCATTTCTCTCTCCTCTCAAACCTACATGACTGCTGTACATTAAAGAGACGTGCTTGATCTTCCTATACTTCAGCATTATTGTGCCACAATTTTTTTTGTAGAGGTTTGTACAAAAACTCAACGCTAGGAGTAAAAAAAGGATAAACAAAAGATTATGATTTTCAATAAATAAATACAACATGGGACTTCAGGCACACAGACTAAAAGAGTGTACGTAATTCCTAGCATTTCTCTACAATGTTTATGTAAAGTTATTTTACAATAAAGGCAATGCAAATAAACTATTCTTTGTCATAAATGTGAAATGAACCTATACACAGGAGCCTGAGAAAATGCTCATTTTAAATATTCAGATGGCACTTAGAGGCTTTTGCATCTGAACTCTTCATATATTTAATATTTTGATATCATCTTTCTATAGTTCTTTAATAACATTAATATGGCACGATTTTATTTGTATTTTGAACCAAATAAATGCAGCCTTGTTGAGCGTGATATTTTTTCCTCCCTAGTGGAGACGCATCAGCAACGCAGCATCAGAAATGAGCTCTTCTTACACTAGTAGTCACCTGTTTGAGGGTGCTGCTGAGAAAGTAGATGAGCGACAATCCGAACACGACCCCCAGGACCCAACGCTTGCGCAGGAGCCGGCGCAACACCATGGAGGCGTTCTTCTGGATGTGCACCAGGTCCAGGTAACGTTAGATGTGTTGGAGATCTAAATATTCGGCGATCTCACACAGAGAGATCCAGCTGATTAAATTAACACAGCATCTTTTGCATGGCGAACCCACGCTGTCAGATTGGCCGTATTAATGTGTGGAATCGTGTTGTGTGACACCGTTATCCGACACAGGCCGCCTGTCGTTATCGATTGCCGTCGTAAGTTGGACAAACAGCGAGTTTTAGAAACATTTAACCCATTTTATGCGTTAAAAATTCTGGATGGAGACTTTAGCACTGATGCGAATCATTCTGACAGTTACACATTCAAAACAAACAAAGCCAGCTAACGTTACCGGAGCGATCGAAACATGCACGGCGTTTATTTAATAATCAAAGAATCCGGGTGGATATTCACGAATGCAGGGGTGTGATGCGATTCTCTGTCGAGTTCGTAATTCAATCTGTTTAAATATGACTACCAGAAATCAAGCCGCACAACAACAGCCCTCTCCGTGCGGAAATGCGGAGCAACGCCGCGCTGTGATTAGCTAGCTGGTCTTTGTGGGTACTTCCGGAAACAAAGCGGTTCACATCCGCTCTACAGTCACTGATTGATGCTTTAATTTTTCTGGCGTTTGTTAAAAGAAATAGCTCATAAAAAAGCGATTAGATAGTCGTTTATCGGTTTCCGTTAAAAGCTATGATGAAGGTAAGTTAAGATCATTCTGCTCTTTTACTAAAACATTTGGTCGCCATTTGAGCCGAACAATGTTCATCACTGAAAGACTCATTCATTCATGACTTGCTACAAAATTGTGGCAATATTAATTTGCTAATAGTAAATAATTTAGTAAAATACGATAGTTATTATTACGATATCACTGACATTAAATACTAAGAACATAGATAAATAGGTTTCTTTATTAAATATGTTACAATTGATACTAGAGTAACGTTAGAGCTATCTATCTATCTATCTATCTATCTATCTATCTATCTATCTATCTATCTATCTATCTATCTATCTATCTGTCGTTCTGTCTGTCTATCTATTGTTCTGTCTGTCTATCTATCTATTGTTCTATCTATCTGCCTGTCTGTCTCACCATCGTAATATTAAATTATTATTTAATAAAATAAGTAATTGACATGTCTTTTTTGCATCTGACACATTAAATATAGCATTTTAAAATACTGATTTATTTTAATATGTGAACAACAGCATGCAGAACGTCAGAACATCTTCACGCAGCTTCTTTTGACTGGTTAGTAAACCATTTAAAAGATGCCCCTCTCAACTCAAAAAGAGTGTTCAATGTGATCGGCCCCTGATGCTGCCAAACTTTAAATATATATATAAAAAATGTTTTAATCATTCAACTGATGCCATTAATTTGTTAAAACGCACCCTTTCAGTTAACGGTTAATCGGTTATTATGAGCATCAGTATTAGGTATATTCACCTTCGGCCCAAGGCTCTCTATGATTTTTTTTTTTTGGCCCTTCATGCAAAAAAGTTTGGCCATCCCTGGTTTTTGGGGTATGAATGCTCCTGGAAGAAAGTTGCTAATTGTGTTAAATGATAAAGTTTTTGCTTTTGTGTTTCCTAAGTGAAAATAAGTCATTTTTTCTCTCTCCGTGTTATGTCTACAGCATCCTCATCTAAGCAGTTCTTTTGTTCTGTCATACAGTGTCCTTTGTATTTTTACTTTAGGTAAGTATATTTTGTTTGAATTAAATTTATAAATATTAATCTTTTTTTTTTCTGCCCAGTTTTGGAGCTCCTGGTGATAAAGCGGGTGCCATGCAGAGACGCCACAGCAGTAATACTGAGGGCATGCCACCAGAAAGGTTGAAATTTTTGCTCAATTATTCCTTACATGTTTATAATTTTATAATATTTATCTGGTCAGTAGAATTTGGTACTGAACCAACCCAAGTCAACCAGCCTCGCTAGTTAAGACACATTCTCAGGAACGGTTACTAAATATATGGGAATTACATTTGGATCAATGCTTTAGACCTGGTAGAACAAGCTCAGCCTGTTTCTGTTGTGTATTTTTAACAGGAACAGGAGTCAGACTCTGGGTTCAGAGAGCAGTCTTGATGAAGGAGGAGTGTTTGACTGTCTGAAGCCAGACTCTCCCACGTCTCCCCAGCAGCTCTTCTCTGGTCTGGTGGGCGTCTCTGCTGGAAACGTGTCTTCAGCTCCCTTCCAGGCTGCAGGGCTGGTTCTGGGTTCTCCTCCAGACGTCTTCATCCAGATGGCATCCTCCACCCGGGACGAAGCCTCCTCGCACCGAACGGAAAACCCTCCTTATCTTCCTCGCCCTTCTCAGCACCATCATCACCATCATCACCACCATCATCACTCTGGTCAACACCGCTCTGCTCTCCTGCATGCGGCCACCTCTGCTGAGAGACACAGCAGCAGAGAGGACGGAGGTGAGAATGTCTGCATTTCAATTAATAAAAGACTAATCGCATTATGGCTGCCAGTAAAAAGGGTGTCTGCAGGGTCTTTAAAAGCCTTAAATTTCACTGAAATATTGTATTATAAGTCGTAAATAAAGATAAAAAAACTATTATGGGTTTTGGAAGTGAGCTTTCATGCAGTGTGTTCCACAACACTAAGGAAATGAAAACATTCAGCTATGGTTTAAGTGCACTGTGTTTAAAAATGTTAATTATTTTTTTTACTTTATTTATAGAAGTTTTTATAAAAACATAACACTTGATTGTGTACATCATGTACATATGTTATCAAAATTATATCTGTTATTACCTGATACTAACAAGAACATGCACCAAAACACGAGCAGACAATACAGCAAATATTTAGCACCATCAAGAAAAAAAAAATCTCAGCCAGTCTAATGAAATAAGAAAATATTTAATAATAAAATTATTGCAGAAACATTATTAACCTATACATCTAAAGGCTGATTTATACTTCTGCGTCAATCGCACGTATATGCTACGGCGCGGCCTACATCTGACGCACACCTTTCAAAAAATGTAACTGCACGTTGCAACGATGCGTAGCAAACGCTCTGTGATTGGTCGGCTTGGTATTGCTGACGAGTGTGGGCAGGACCGAGAGCCACGAGTCTGTTGGAGCGACTGTTTACAAGCGTGGAGTCCCGTGAAGGAGGTCCGGATGAAAAGTTTTGTTTTGTGTTTATCTCATGGTTAAAGTTGTTGCACGTCCGCCGGTTCCTGCCTCAAAATGAGCGAGTTTGAACCACTTGTACATTAAGAAAGGGTTCAGAAAAAACAAAACACCAGTGAAGAAACTCGACGCAGAGGAACGTAAACACCTCACTGCCAACTAGAGTTTCGTAAGTGTTATTGCAGAGCAACAGAAACAGCGTGCAGAAGTATGAATGCACAGCTACACGCGTTGCATGCGCCACCATGGGTCATGCCGATCACTTGACGCAGAAGTATAAACCAGGCTTAAGGAAGGGGCCCCATGTTTGGTTATATAACTTCTGTTAGCCAAATGTAGATAAATGTAGCCTTTCCAGCTTGAGCGCAGAAACCATTTCAGCTAACCATTTAAAAAAATTGGAGGTGTCGTGGATTTTCACTCCGTCAGAATCGCTCACCATGCCAAACATAAGGGAGATTTGTTGATGTTTAGGCTAAGTTCAAGCCTGGTCTGAACATCCAAACAATGCTAATTCCACATCAATTTTAATGTCCATTTCAAAAGCCTGGGAATAAGGTCTGAAGATACTTTTCCAAAATTCAGATACTTCTGGGCAGGACCAGAATATATGACCATAGGTCCCGACTGCGCCTTTGCATTTATGACACAAAGGAGAATAAAGATGATTCTGATTCTGAGGGATAAAAGGATACAACTTGTTTAGTTTGGCTTCAGTATAGTGTAATCTATGCATCACTTTAAATTGTATGAGCTGTAGTCTTACATTTATAGAGTAAGAGTAGATACAACTCATCGGCGCCAATGGCCTAGTGGTTAGTGCGTCGACACATGGAACTCAGGTGCTTGCGGCGACCCGAGTTTAATTCCTGGCTCGAGGTCCTTTGCTGATCCTTCCCCTATCCCTGCTCCCTACACTTTCCTGTTTGTCAATCTCCACTGTCCTATAAATAAAGGTGAAAACCCATAAAAAATAATAAAACTTATTTACAACTCTATCCCTCTTCCCAAGTAGAGGATGAAATGTCAATTCTTAATTCCCTCTCCGAAGAATCTCTAAGGTGTGCAGTAGAAACCAAAACATGAGAAGCAAACAGATAAACAAGGTTGGTCACTGAATGTTTCTCCATTGGGCACTGCCTCAAAAGCTTGTATAAATCATGATCCAGAGAGACATTGTGTTTGGTAAAATGACACACTTGTAAATAGCGAAAAAAAGTGTGATTATGAGAGACCAAAAGTTTTATATAAGTATTTAAATGTGGCCAGTTTGTCATCTACATAAAATCCATTACTGAATGCAATCATTGTCACTCTAAAAAGTAAAGATCTTATCAAGGTGTCCGGGCACAAAATCATGATTTTTGCAGATAGGTAAATAAATGGAGGGATATTTAATCTTTAACGTCATTTTCACTTCATTTAAAATTTGTATAGAATTAAGAACTGATATTCTTGCATTTTACCATTTTCAGTTATAGAGATTTTGACCACAAAACTGCAGCTAAAGAACTGTTACCAACTGACAAGCCCCAAAATGTAGCCACTTAGGACATGTATCTAACTGATCGGAAGCAACTTGATCACACTCATGCCAAAGCATCATGGCCCTGTTAGCTGTTAGCTGCTGAATACTATAGATGGAATGTGGGCAGCGCTAGCCCTCCCACTTCCCTAGATTTTTGCAAATGAGTTTTTGAAATTCTGTGTGCCCTATATCCTTAAATGAAAGGAAAAATCAAAACTGTTAATTCTTTAACAAGTAGTCAACTCAGACTTGAATTAATGAATCGAGTTGGGTTCGAATCTTTTGCTTGATCGCGTCGACGTTGATATGATACATGACCAAATATGTAGTTCCAGATCCGGTAAAACGTGAACGTGCCTTTCCTTCAG